AGCCATTAGTTTTATAGTGCATGTTTGGCACAGCTCTAAGAACATAGTCATAGAGCCCTGTGACGCTGCTTCGATATGGAGAAGGGTCCATTTTATTCCTCTATATGTCTATAACATGCCAGTATGCTGTATGCCTTCATTCTGTGTCAGCTGGTTGCTTTGAGGCCTCAGTTCCCTGTGTCAGTAGGGGTGTAGCATCAGGAGAACAGCTTGGCACAGAAGGAATCATGGCAACAAAGTTTGCTTTTCAAAAGGTGTTTTGGTGACTTGTCAGTACTGCAAGTGTACAAGGAAGAGATTAGAACAGATCCTCTCTTGCATCTAAGTTTTTCAGACTTGCACACATTCACTGATGAATTGTTTGTCTTACAGTAGTTAGAATCACATGTTGGGTGTTTTAAATAACATAAAAAAGCCATATATGCCATCTATAGCTTAACATATAGTATAGGAAGATTTGTTAGATACTACAGTTTCAGATGTTAGTTTTAAAGGTAGAACTAGGCAAATTAAGCAAATGAAGTTGAAAAGCTCTACTTTTCTCTGCACTTAGCAAGGTAAGGCTGGAGAAATAGTTCTTCTTGTGTGACTTGGGTTTTTTCCCTCTAACTTCATATGAAAAGTGTTTGGCATCCTCATGACTTGTCTCGAATTGGGCAGAAGCATACTTGGAAGGTAATTTCCCTGTTGCCTTAAGTGGGGAACTCTTGGGGTGTTTTGTTTCAATTAGTGATATTTTAAGGTGGATTGGCTGTTTTTCTGGAATCCTTATGTAATTTTTATATTTAATTTGTATTTTTCTGTATGTTTGGAAAACATTGGAGTACAGGGCATTGCTAACATGTCATTTCTTAATGAAGGCTGTGGATGAGATGAATGGGAAAGAGCTCAATGGGAAACAAATCTATGTTGGCCGGGCTCAGAAAAAGGTGGAAAGACAGACGGAGCTGAAGCGCAAGTTCGAACAAATGAAGCAGGACAGGATCACCAGATACCAGGTCTGTTTTAATTCAAGAGGGGTAGCTTTATTATATGCTGTTTTGAGATTTACACAAAAATAACTTACTTGCCTGTTTTCTTAGGGTGTAAACCTTTATGTGAAAAATCTTGATGATGGAATTGATGATGAGCGTCTCCGAAAAGAGTTCTCCCCATTTGGTACAATCACTAGTGCAAAGGTAAAGTTCATAGATTGTGCTCATTCTTTCTCTGAAAATGAACAGTGACCCTTCATGAAAGAAAAGTGATTTATTTAATTGACTAACAGATATCACTGACTACTTATGTGGACATCTGCTTTCTATTGTACATCTTGGGTTAAACACCATGTCATCGTCCTTTCTTGACATAAACTGAGTACTGATATTAATGTGGGGAAAATTGCATCTTTTCAGTGTAATAATGTGCTCATTATTTCACTGAGGTTTTAGTCTGTATTCAGTAAACAGCTATTAGTTAAGCAGTAATGCTCTTCTTCATAAGTAATTCAGTAAAACAAACCTGTAGCCTTCTAGAAGGCTGAAAAAAGAAACTCGTGCGAGTTGAGCAGATATGACAGGACGTTTAGTTTTAAAACTCAATTTTGTACTGACAGGTCATGATGGAAGGTGGCCGCAGCAAGGGATTTGGCTTTGTATGCTTTTCGTCACCAGAAGAAGCCACCAAAGCAGTCACAGAAATGAATGGTAGAATTGTGGCTACTAAACCATTATATGTAGCTCTAGCCCAGCGCAAAGAGGAGCGCCAAGCTCACCTCACCAACCAGTACATGCAGAGAATGGCAAGTGTAAGAGCAGTACCCAATCCTGTAATCAACCCTTACCAGCCAGCACCTCCTTCAGGTTACTTCATGGCAGCTATCCCACAGGTACGTGTAGAGATGAGTAACTGAATGCTTTGTATGTTCAGCGTGTCTCTCACAGACAGCAAAGTTACCTGATGTTTTTGTTTGACAGACTCAGAACCGTGCTGCGTACTACCCTACTAACCAGCTCGCTCAACTTGCTAGGCCAAGTCCTCGCTGGACTGCTCAGGGTGCCAGACCTCATCGTAAGTCCCTTTTACCTCTTACCTTTGCACTTTTAAGTACATTTTCATGGCATTGCAGGATCAGTCTCTCTTTGTCATGTTGTTACCATGCAGCGTTTTAGCATGTAACAATGTATTTCTTGTAAACCGCAGCATTCCAAAACATGCCTGGTGCTATCCGCCCAGCAGCACCCAGACCACCCTTCAGTACCATGAGACCAGCCTCTTCACAAGTTCCACGAGTCATGTCCACACAGCGTGTTGGTGAGTATGAGTTATGCCAGCTTTAAGTATTAGACTTCTAGTTGAGTTCTGCTGATCCAGAATGATCTCTCAAAAGCATCCCTAAGTTCAACATCACCTGTGGTAACACCTCCCTCCTTTTCCAGCTCTTACTAAGTGAATAAGGTGCAATCACCTTCTAGTAGCTCCTTTAAATACAGTCCCAGGAAAGACTCCAGCTGTGTTCCCATCTCTTTAGGATGAAGCCTTTCTTACAGTGTATGCTTTAGTAACACTGGATGATGGCTACTGCCATTTCTCAACATTGTTGTGGCAGTCGTAATAATAGGTTGCACGTGGAAGTACTGGGATTATATGATTTTTAACTCACAGTACTTAGTCATAGAATAGTGTGGGCCAGTATCATGTGTTCAGTATCTGCACACCACTGAATGAACCAGAATTGATTGTAATCACAGAGTGGTTTGGGTTGGAGTGGGACCTTAAAGATCATCTAGTTCCAGCCCCCCCTGCCACAGGCAGGGATACTTTTCACTAGGCCAAGTTATCCAGCCTAGTCTTGAACACCTCCAGGGATGGGGAGTCCACAACCTCTCTGGAGGTGTAATTCTCTCAGATGATACTAGACAGATATCTACTTCCTAGGAGTATCTTTTTTAGAACGGTTGACATAATGTACCCAGGAAATCAAGTCTCCTTTTGGTTAGAATGAAATCAAATTAATATTCAACCAAGTGGATTTTTTCTTGCAGATGTTTCTTTCAATAGCATGTAAGAAAAGCAGTTCATGAGTGAAGTGACTGGCAAGTAGCATCCAGTAGTAAATTTTGAGCTTTGAACCTTGGGATACAACCAGTGATGTGACAGCTGACAATACTACTGAGTTCGAGTTGGTTTGTTGTGCTTTTAACTTGTGCATTGCAGACTAAATAAAAAAAATAATAATTACTCACATATGGAAATAAATTTCTATTTTTTTCAGCTAATACATCAACACAAACCATGGGTCCACGTCCTGCAGCAGCAGCTACTGCAGCTACTCCTGCTGTACGCACAGTTCCACAGTACAAATATGCTGCAGGTGTTCGCAATCCTCAGCAGCATCTTAACACACAGCCACAGGTTGCTATGCAGCAGGTATGTGATTTGGGGAACTGCTCTGTGCTTTTACTAATGTTTTTTGCAGAGGAAGGTGGCTGAGGTATGCGGGTGGGAGGCACTTAAAAGTCATTCAGGCTCTGCAGCATGGCAGCAGAGTAAAGGGCTTAGGTATATTTATTTCAAGTTCACCTGAGACAGGATTTGAATCTGTGTTACTTCATATTTTCCATAGTTGCCTGATACCTTAGCCTAAATCCTTGTGTTTGCTCTTCAGTGGAGTGGTTGATAGTAATCTTCACATCATTCAGCTTTGACCAGTACTACCTGATTAAATTGATTTAGTTGTAATTTCCTTCATGTTTCTGACAGTGTGGGCATTGTTATGCTGAGCTGTGAAATACTGGATACTTGAAACTGTACTTAATTATGAACCAGAATTTAATTTTCAAATGGTGTTAATTTGTAGCCTGCTGTCCATGTGCAAGGTCAGGAACCCTTGACTGCTTCCATGTTGGCTTCTGCCCCTCCACAAGAACAAAAGCAGATGTTAGGTATGTACATGATACATTTCTCTCTGCATTTTGTCCATCTTGAACTGCAGAAAAAATGGTTTTAGCAGTAGAACAAGGTGTTTGTTTCCCTTTTCCCTTAAGTCTGGGCTGTGTTTGTCGGAAGAAATTTGTCACTGATGAGCTTTGTTCCCTCTAGGTGAACGTCTCTTTCCCCTCATTCAAAGCATGCACCCTACTCTGGCGGGTAAGATCACTGGTATGTTGTTGGAGATTGACAACTCTGAACTCCTCCACATGCTCGAGTCTCCTGAGTCTCTTCGTTCGAAGGTAGGTGAACTTCTGCCTTACACTGGTTTGGTCGGTGGCTATGTCCACACTGGTCTAACAGGTGTTTATGCTGGCACAGTGCATAGCAGCAGTGCTCTGAAGCTCAGGGCAAGAGTATCCTCTTTCAGAAGGTGGCAGTGACTTAAATGGTGTGAGCTGGAACTGTAATGTATCCTGCTCTTTCTAACAATGCAGGCATTGTTTGTATGTATAATTTACACTGTATTATTAACTTAAATATACAGACATTGCTGAGCTTCCCATTAATAATTTTTCTTTTTTACTTAACAGGTTGATGAAGCTGTAGCCGTACTACAAGCCCACCAAGCTAAAGAGGCTGCTCAAAAGGCAGTTAATAACCCTACTGGGGTTCCAAGTGTTTAATAAGTAAGTCTTCTGAGTACTGTAGTCTACAGGTTGTCTGAGGCAATAGTTCTCTGTCCATGGCCTTACAAGCAGTGTGTGTCCAGGCTCTGTGTCATTTGCAGCCACAAAAAATGGCAAACTTCTGTGTTCAGTCCTGGTGTCCAGTTCTGTAGCTCTTGGTTAGCAAAAGCTACTGACGTGTCATTGTTTTTAACAGTGTATTTAGCTGGAATTAGTTCTAGGCGTGTGTGCAAAAATGGGCAGTTCTGTGAAACACTACTATTCATACTGTTTTTTGAGAGGAACTTGTGGAGTGGAAGTAAGCTTAAAGTGGTACTCCAACCCCATTTTTCCTTAGAAATTAGATAGCTTATTTACACTATAGTTTGTATATATACTAAACTATATTTAACTTTAATGTAAATTAAAATACTGATGTTCCTTTATTGCCTTCTGTGGGGGTTGGTATCTTAATTGTGCATGGCAGAAAGAGCCAAGAGGTGGTACCTTTACAATTTTGACGGGAAAATGTGAAATATTCTCTATTCAGTCTAGTTAGGTTTTCCTGTTTATGAACTTACTTTCACATTTACACCTGTCATTTGAAGGCACCTGCTTTAACATTTATCACCTAGAATTTTCTGGATATTTCAATTTCTGCCATTTTCCTTTTAGAGGCAGAATTTGAGTCATTTTTTACACTTTTTGTTGCTAGTGACGCTTTCACACTGGAGATAAACAAGTGCTGAATAAGTTCTCTCCTAAATTATGACCAAACTTTGAGACCATTACACTTTCTGCTCCATGGTGTTTTAGGAATTGGAAATTGAAAATAGTATAGTAGTTATTTGATGAGCCTCAGTCTGTTGACCTCAAGAGCAGAGGTGACCTGTGGTCAAGTTAGTCACAGTAACAAGCATTGTGCTTGGCTGTTGTCTAAGGCAGTGGTTCTAGAGTCAGTTTTGTCTTACCAAGGATCTCAGACTTTGAATACTTCACTTCTCATGCCTCTAAGAAGTGGGGTACCTGTGATACAGTGCTTGTAAAGCAATGCTCAGATTGATTCTGTGAAAGCCCAGAGTGCTGCCTGGTGTTGAGCTGCAGAAGGTATGGCAGAAAACACGAGGAGCTGCTTTAGTTGTGAAACCTAACAGCATTGTTTTTGTTTGCAGAAAGATCCGGGACTACAATCTAGAACTTCGCTTCACCGAAGAAAAAAAAATCTAAACATGGAAAAACTATTAAATATTGAGAAAAACATTGCAAAATATAAAATAAATAAAAAAAGGAAAGGAAACTTTGAAGCTTACGTACAGAGCAACGCCAGGACTAGCGAAACAAGTGCCAGTCCTAGATTACTTATTGATTTAAAATCTAAAAAAAAATAGTAAAATAAAAAATACAAATTAATGTTTTATAAACCCGGGGGAAAAGAATTTTCAGCACAGTACAAAAATTTAAAGCATTCCTTTCTTTAATTTTGTAATTCTTTACTGTGGAAAAGCTCAGAATATCACCACTGTTTTAGTTGACAGTGAGAATTGATAGCTGAGCAAAGAAACATAATTTGGATTATAAAATTCTTGGTTTAATAAAAATTCCTTAAACACTGACTGACTTGTTATGGTTTCTTTTGTGCAGTGTAATTCTCCTAAGGTTGTCATTCAGAATGCCAAGTCAGGATCCCACTCTGTAGTATGTTTTAGTGGTTTGTAGAGAAGATTAGCCTACATTTACCCACCTGTTACTGATAATATAAACTTAGGCATTAAAACCAATTAAAAGAGTAGCTAGATCCATATCTGGGTTTAAATCCTTAATAGCACAGTGTCTGAGCACTTGTTGTTATCTAATTAGAATAGACCTTTAAAATACCCTACTTGGAGATTATCAGGAAGAGATGTTAACATAAAAGACCTGTGTTGGAGTTGTGTAACATACCAACACGTGGTGCTATTTAACCAGCTGCACATGGTGCAGCTCATTCTCACAGTGCTGGTGGAAGGAACAATCTCTGCATTGGTGTCTGGCTGTGTCTTTAGATCTAGAGTAATGAACCCTGAGGTGGAGGCAAGTCCTATGGATAGAGCTGAATGAGCAAGGATTGGCTGCAATAGTGTTGCAAAATGCCATTACTATGAGCATAAGAACACATATGGCATTCCTAGAACAAATAAATGGTGAGGCTTCAGGTGCTGATGCACTAAAAACTGAATACACAGCAGCCAAAAGATGATGCTTTTCACATAGTAAAAATCCTGTGGATAAGACGGCTTAGTCCGTTGAGTCGGATATTTGCAAGGATTGGCTGCAATAGTGTTGCAAAATGCCATTACTATGAGCATAAGAACACATATGGCATTCCTAGAACAAATAAATGGTGAGGCTTCAGGTGCTGATGCACTAAAAACTGAATACACAGCAGCCAAAAGATGATGCTTTTCACATAGTAAAAATCCTGTGGATAAGACGGCTTAGTCCGTTGAGTCGGATATTTCTAATCAAATGGCTT